AGCAAGTGTAGTTACTGGGATGTATAGTTCACCTACAATCAAAGAGCATTCTGAACTCCACCAATGATGGAATTGAACCAAATATGGCACACAGAACTCCCACGATGAACAGAAAATATATATCAATGATTGGTTAGGGGAGGGCACCAAAATACTGTATGCTTACCTTTGAAAATTACTTATGGCAGCATTCCCACAGCTTTGGGAATTTCCAGGAAACAGCCCTAAAGACTAAAGAACTCCAGCTGGAGAATATCCACTGCCTTGCTGGTAGGTCCACTCGGCGTCCGAGAAGCAGTTCGGCCCGGTAGCGGAGCCCAGACCAGTGAGGGTTGGATTTCAGTCAGCCTGGGAGAAGTTAAAAAAGGGTTTTTCCTTTAAAGAAGAAGTTACTGAAGATAGTTGCCTGTCCTTCGTGGGCAAGTTTAGGAATTCACCAGTTCCCTAGAAGCTTGGAATTATTTGCTTTACTTTGCTAAAGATAAGAGAAGTTCCTGTTTGATTGTTCATTAATAAAAGACTTTGTTGTACTTCTCAAGCCATCTGAAGATTCTTTGTAGTGGAAACCTCTGCGAACTTCTCCTTAGGACCCTGGCTTCCCGCTGGGCAAAGGTTACACATCCTATTTTTGAAGCCAACCAATTACAGGCCCAGAGGCGACAGAACAACGGCAAACATTCAATGCCGTTAAACAGACAGGACAAACAACAGATAGAGGCATTTTCCCCAACTTCGGCATCCTGGAGGTTGTGCTTGATTCCAGCCACGAGAGGGTTCTGTTGTTCCATTCTCTATGACGAAGAGCCCTTGATCACAGACTTACTTCCTTTGATCTATGGCATTTTTCTGGCATTTTTTATGGTGTCGTAAAATACCTCCCTGCTTAAGCACTGCCTAATTTCTCTACTCACAGCTCACAGCTGTTTTCAAACTGCTTAGGTGGCCAGTAAACTGGGCTGAAGGTTGGGTGTTCACCCCGACCCGGGCTTCGAACTGCCAGCCTTTCGATTGGTAAGATATATTGCTGCTGGTGATTAACCAGCTGTGCTAAAGCCCAGCATTCCAGCATATAAACCTACATTAAAGCCAGCACTGTGATACAAATGCAAAGACAGTGGACAAATTTGGATTTCCTTGGGCTTTACTGACCAAATGGCTCCCAGGAAACAAAGCAAATAATTGGAAGCCTTTTTCAGAATATATAGGTTGAACATTTAAAAACTGGTCCATAATAGTACTGAGTTATTAAAAACACAATGTCAGAAAGAAGAGCAAGGTTATGACAAATGTACAATTAGTTCACCTTTGAACACTTTATGTAAAATTTACATATATAGAGAATTATACATAATAATCATCATCATCATCACGTTAAAAATGCAGCTGTGGGTTAAACCCTTGTACCATCTGAACTGTTGACCTGAAGACTTGAAAGTAGGTGGTTCGAATCCGGAGTGAGCTCCTGTCTGTCAGCCCCAACTTCCCATATGAGACATGAGAGAGGCCTCCCACAGAACGATAACACTTCCGGGTGTCCTTGCAGACAGCCAATTGTCTCACACCAGAAGCAACGTGAAGTATATTCTCAAGACATGCCGCATTATCACGGGGTGTCTGTGCCCTACACCACTAGAGAAATTACACTGTCTAGCCAGTATTGCACCACCTGACATCCACCAGGAAGTAGCAGCCAATAGTGAAAGGACCAAGGCAGAGACATCTCCAGCTCATCCCTTGTTTGGGTATCAGCCAGCACATCAACGACTTAAATCAAGAAATAGTTTTCTAAGATCTACAGAGACACTTGGTGGAACACCCCAGCAAGCGAGAGTCCAAAAGTGGCAGGTTCAAACCCAGAACCCCAACCAATGGCTGATACCAAATGAGAGACTCCCCCCTGGGCACACAGAAGACTGGGCGACTTGGAAGGTGCTGAACAGACTGCACTCTGGCACCATGAGATGCAGAGCCAGCCTTCAGAAATGGGGCGACAAAGTGGAATCCACGACATGCGAGTGTGGAGAAGAGCAAATCACAGACCACCTGCTGCAATGCAACCTGAACCCTGCCACATGCACAATGGGGAACCTCCTTGTGGCAACACCAAAGGCACTCCAAGTAGCCAGGTACTGGTCAAAGGACATTTAATCAACTACCAAGCTTGCAAACTTTGTGGGGTTTTTTTATCTGTTTTTTGTTTTGTTCTGTTAGAAATGTAATACAATTGTCTGGTTGCCCCTGACACGATAAATAAATAAATAAATAAATAAATAAATAAATATGTTTTGTTTCCTATTTGTGGGGCGTAACATTGCACATAACTGAATACGTAATGCCACACCACATATGTCGTCACTTTAATACCTGGGACGTACTCTGTTTCTGTCCTGTTACAAGTGCCTTTCTTCTTGACTCAGTGAGGGGAAAAAGAATTTCCTTTCTAAATCCCTTTACTGCCTTGTACTGCTGCAGTTTATATTGTCTGGGGCTCTCTTTTGAGCTCTTAAACCTTTGCACTTTATATCACATGCTTGAGACACTCCGGGAAGCAACGAAGTAACAAAGTTTATTTATAGCTTCTGGTTCCAATGCTTTATGGTTACATTTGTGTTTTGTTACAGTCTCAAGTCTTACATTCAGTATCATTCACTCGGTTAACTTTTCTTATGAAACCCTCGCTATCTCACATTTTTTAAATTTTTTTAAAAAATTCCTTAAACCTTGAGCTCTATTTTCCCAACTGCTTCTCTCTAATCAAGGTTTCTAACTCTCCCCACTTCTCTTTTTCAACTGACAAACTCTAACTGCTTCTTTCAAACTTGACTCCGCCCCTTTAGAATGTTCAGTTCTGTAACTGCCATTCTGGATCAGTGGCCTTTTCAAATCCTGGCGTACTCTCATCTGCATACGACCAATCGGCTTCACATATGCAAATTAATCCTGCCTTCACTGTTGCTACCCTATTTGAGCCAATTCTTCCCTATCAGCCATATTGTAACCTAGAGCTACACACCAAAAATACAACATAGGTCATAAAATTCACTACACTATTCCTTTCTTGTCAAATATATTGTTCTCACACTTATAGGGGAAACTATATTGTTCTTTTGAAACTTTTTATTTATTTATTTCTATTCTTTTCTTTTTAAAAATTAATAATCTTAATAAATAATTAATTTTAAAAATAATAATCTTAATAAATAATTAATTTTTAAAAATATTTTTTTAAAAATAAATATTCTGGGTTATATGGCTGTGTGGAAGGGCCCTAAGACACTTCTCATTCACTGGTTCACATAAATCAAGGTGGACTTCATGACATCTAAACCATTGCCTTGGTTGAAAATCACTTCAATAAAAGACACAACAGACTTTTAAAAACCGATGAACGGAAAGAAGTTTAAAAGAGAAGTTTAGATGATTTCTTTGAAGATTCCAACTCATTATGTAATCTGAGAAAGAGGGCAAAACCTATGCCAATCTGATGTGGTTCAATGAACAAGTGCTAATTAATCCTGAGGGTGCAGGGAAATTGGAAGGCACAAGACTCGTACTCAGAAGACTCTTCTTTAAAAGGGAAAAGAAGACATATCCCACTGCTAATCCCACTGGCTGCTAATTTGGACACTGTGGACAACGGAGAGAGTGAAGTACTCAAGAACACACTGATCATGTATTTCCAAAGAGAAAACAAGAAGGATGCTGTTGGTGTTTTGTAAAAAAAAAAAAGAATTAAAGATTCAGCGATATGCTCATCTCTTTGTAATAAATTCTATTTTAACAATAGCTGACATCTCCCCACGGCCTACACCAGTGGTTCTCAACCTTCCAAATGTCACAACTCCTTAATACAGCTCCTCATGTTGTGGTGACCCCCAACCATAACATTATTTTCGTTGCTACTTCATAACTGTAGTTTTGCTACTGTTATGAATCGTCATGTAAATGTCTGACATGCAGGATGTATTTTCATTCACTGGACCACATTTGGCACAAATACCCGATATGCCCAAATTTGAAAACTGGTGGGGTTGGGTGGGGATTGATTTTGTCACTTGGGAGTTGTAGTTGTTGGGATTGATAGTTCAATCCAAGAGCGCTCTGGACTCCACCAATGATGGAATTGAACCAAACTTGGCACACAAATTCCCATGGCCAACAGAAAATACTGGAAGGGTTTGGGGGGCATTGACCTTGAGTTTGGGAGTTGTAGTTCTCCTACATCCAGAGAGCACTGTGGACACAAACAATGATAGATCTGGACCAAACTTGGCATAAATACTCAATATGCCCAAATGTGACCACTGGTGGAGTTTGGGCAGACATCTGAGAGTTGTCGTTTCTGGGATTGATAGTCAAATGTGGAGAGAGACATAATGCAAAATGTCTCCAACAGGATTCCACCCACAGTGTTTCTGTATATATGAGGGTTGAATGAAAAGTAATGCCTTCATCTTCGTAACTCCTCAACAGATGGCAGTACTGGTATGCGGCAGGTACTGGCTTGCTCAGTAGACTCTCCTCTAGAGTTCCTTTTTGCCAGGAAGCCTTAGCATTGAACAGTTGCATTGTTAAAGTGCAAAGTATGGAACCCTGCACAGACGGTTGGTCAATGTGACTTTAGCAATGTGCAGTCATTGACTTCTTGACAGCAGAAGGTGTCACCCCTGCAAGCTGTTTATGGTAATTGTGTTGATGTGAGTACTCTGCGTCATTGGGCAAAAAAGTTTAAAGACGTTGGGGTAGGAACATCTGACTTGTGTGATAAACAAAGAGTTGGACGTCCTGTGACAGCAACCACCTAGTTTCACAAGCAAAAGGTTGACAGATTGATTCAGGACGATCGTCGTATCACTCAGAGAGAAATTTCAAGCATAATCGGCATTTCACAAGAACATGTGGGTCACAATATTGCTTTGCTTGGCTATTGGAAGATCTGTGCACGATGAGTAACCAGGATGCTGACGCCTGAAATGAAAGCGCACAAACTTGAAACTCACCACCGTATGGCATCCTCCATACAGTCCAGATTCAGCACCATCTGACTTCCATCTGTTCCCGATAATGAAAGAAGATCTGCGGGGACATCATGATGCTTCTGATGAAGACGTTGAGAGAACTGTGAGATGATGGTTGCGGAAACAGAGTGTCGACTTCTTCGGTGACGGCTTCAGAAAACTTGTTCATTGTTGGTAGAAATGTATCCAATTGTCTGATGATGATGATGATGATAATAATAATAATCCTTTATTTGTACCCCGCTACCATCTCCCGAAGGACTCGGTGCAGCTTACAAGAGGAGAGCCCAAATACAATAGTAAAAACAATAGCAACTACAACAGCAAAATAACTAAAAAAAACCAAAGCAATAACATTAACAACACACAATGACACAATTAAAATCAATGGCAGGGCCAAATGTAATAAATTAATATTAAAAAGTGCTGGGCGTGACCAGGTAGAGTGTTTGGAGGGGGATGGGCATGCAGATATCCTAGATCTCTGATAAAGTGTGATGGGACATAATGCTAGGAGTATCCTTATTCTGGGAAGGCACACTAGAACAACTACGTTTTCAAGCTCCTCCTAAAGTGAATAGTGGTAGTTAAAGAGCACATTCTAAGGATTATTTTTGCGTTTGATTTATTAAAATATTCCCATCCAAACCCAAGTAATGAAGGTGGAGGCATTACTTTTCATTCAACCCTTGTAATCCAGAAATGAGCATGATGTGGCCTCCAGTTACTGTTGAACTGCCACTCATGGACTATGTTGGTTTGGACTACTAGAAGTTTCACAAAATTCCCATCCTTGATTAACTGTTACTAGGCACTTTTTCTTGCTTTATGTCTCATGTGTTTATCTTGTACAAAGCACCTGGAAAAGGGGACATGGCATGAATATGTCTGGGAACAGAACAGTATTCCCAAAAGTCTATGGCAGCACATCCCAGATGAAGCTGTTTGGAACATTGCTTTGACAGCATCCCAAGACCTTCATGCTGCTACAGCTTGACATCCCGCAGTACAACTCCTCCGAATCCAGCTTCTATTGGAAATGCACACCTGCCTTGGCTTCCAAATGAGCTGGAACATATGTACTGGAACATAAGCATGCCAGGGAACCAAGCTGGCAGGCGGAGGTGAAATTGCAGCAATTGAAGGGCAACATTCCTGCCATAGTGTTGCCTTTGAACATGCTGTTATGGAGAGAGAAGACACTCCTGTTCAGCTCAAAAAGAGCAGGTTCTGTAACAGATAACTACCACTGACACTAGAGAGGAGTTGGCATTTCAGTATCTTTTCCCAAGGCTGAGAGTTTATGTGAAGCCAAACACAATGTCAACAAGAGAACTAAATTCGATGTTGACTCTAATTTAAATAACAACACATTTTATTTATTACCTGGCTTTCCTGATGGCTTGAGGTATGGCACAACAAAGTCAAAAACATATGAACATAATATATTATTGTGTGTGTATGTATGTGTGTGTGTGTGTGTATCTAAATAAAAATGTAATGTTCATTTGTGGGATTAACAGAACTCAAAAACCACTGGACAAATTGACACCAAATTTAGACACAAGACACCTAACAACCCAATGTATGTCCTTCACTAAAAAAAAATAATGATTTTGTCATTTGGGAGTTGTAGTTGCTGGGATTTATAGTTCACCAACAATCAAAGAGCATTGTGAACCCCACCAATGATTGAATTGAACCAAACTTGGCACACAGTTCTCCCATGACCAACACAAAATACTGGAAGAGTTTGGTGGGCAGTGTCCTTTGGTTTTGGGGTTGTAGCTCACCTACACCCAGAGATCACTGTAGACTCAAACAATGATGGATCTGGACCAAACTCTACACGAATACTCAATATGCCCAAATGTGAACACTGGTGGAGTTTGGGGAAAATAGAATCTTGACATTTGGGAGTTGTAGTTCCTGGGATTTGCAGTTCACCTACAATCACAGAGCATTCTGATTTGTAGGTGAACTGCAAATCCCAGGAACTACAACTCCCAAATGTCAAGATTCTATTTTGGGCCAAACCTCCCACACGGAACCCCTATGACCACCAGACTTAAAACCACACACATATATATATATACACAAACACACATATAGACACATACACACAAATATATACACACTCAAAACACATCTATACAGACTGGGCCACAGCAACGCATGGCAGGGGACAGCTGATGTTTGTGTGTGTGTGTGTGTATATACAATACATTACATAGATAAAAACACAAAAAAGTGTTCGCATTTGGGCATACTGAAGTATTTGTGCCCAGTTTGGTCTAGATTCTCCATTGATTGAGTCCACAGTGCTCTCTGGATGTAGGTGAACTACAACTCCCAAACTCAAGGTTAATGCCCACCAAACCCTTCCAATATTTTTTGTTGGACATGGGAGTTCTGTGTGTCAAGTTTGGCTCAATTCCATCGTTGGTGGAGTTCAGAATGCTCTTTGATTTTAGGTGAACTATACATCCCAGTAACAACAACTCTCAGATGTCAAGTCTATTTTCCCCCAAACTCCCCTAGTGTTTACATTTGGGCATGATGAGTATTTGTGTCAAGTTTGGCCCAGATCCATCATTGTTTGAGTCCACAGTGTTCTCTGGATGTTGGCGAACTACAACTCCCAAACTCAACGTCAATGCCCACCAAACCCTTCCAGTATTTTATTTATTTATTTATTTATTTATTTATTTCTGGTATTTCTATCCCGTACCTTTTCAACTCCCGAAGAGGGGCTCAGGACGGCTTACATTTGGCAGCAATTTGATGCCACTACATTAACACATTAATATAATAACAATTAAAACAATAAGTAAAACATTCATTAAAACATGTTGGTCATGGGAGTTCTGTGTGCCAAATTTGGCTCAGTTATAGGTGGTGGAGTTCAGAATGCTCTTTGATTGTAGATGAACTATACATCCCAGCAACTACAACTCCCAAATGACAAAATTAATCCCCCCCCCAAAAAAAGCCCACCAGTATTCAAATTTGGGCATATTGTGTATTTGTATTTGGTCCAGTGAACAAAAATACACCCTGCATATCAAATATTTGCATTATGATGCATAACAGGAGCAAAATTGCAGCTATGAAGTAGCAATAAAATAATTTGATGGTTGGGGGTCACCACAACATGAGGAACTGCATTAAGGGGTCATGATATTAGGAAGGCTGAGAATCACTAAAACCATGTTGACCACTGATAATAATATACGATAATACTCTTCATTAACTTTTATGACGCAAGTGTTCATTTGCTGTTTGTAAAAATAGATCATAATGGTAAACTTACCGTCATGGTTAATGTAATAAGATGTGCTTTTACCGATTGCGTTCAGCGCCTATTCTGCAAAGCAAAATCTTATTTTGCAATATGAATGAAAGCTCCTCTCTGCTCACATCCTCTGCAAGAGGAAGAAGCTGCATTTGCATTCGTCAATGCCAATCGGAGAGGGAGCAAAAGATATTATTCCAAAAAGGGAGGTAGAAGCAGCTTCAAAGGAAGCACGGAGACTCAAATGCTACTCCACTCAAATATTTATTGATTGAGACCGAAAGAGGGAGCAAAAGGTAGATGTAGCTGTAGAAGCAACAGTTGAAAACACGTTGAGTTTCAACAAGCTTTGCTGTTGCTGTTGTTGTTTGACTTCTAATCACTTCTGACTTATGGTCGCCCTGTTATCGGGATTGATTGACAAGATTTGTTCAGCAGAGGTTTGTGGCACTCCACTCGTCACTTCTTTCCAGGACAAAGAGGAAGCATTGGTGAGCACCCTCTGGGTTCGTCTATTTAACCAATTCCAGATCTACCTCACCATAGTTTTGCCTAGCCCACATTGGACTCGTTTCCTTGCCCGAAGGTCATGGGGGACCTTGTTGAAGGCCTTCCTGGTACGCTACATCCACGGCATTCCCCGCATCTACCCAGCTTGTAACTCCATCGAAAAAAGAGATCAGATTAGTCTGGCATGACTTGTTTTCAAGTCAATCCCAACTATTGAAATATATAAATGTTGACTAATCATCTTTGACAATCTCATCTTCCATCTGCAGCCTCTGGCATCTTCTATGTCCCATGATCCCCAGTCACTGAGAAGTTGGAAGATGATGGATACCAGTGTCTGAAAGAGGCATAGGACATCACACTGGGGTAACTGATCTTATTAATTTATTGTTACTTCCCCATTGCTCTACCTCTCGTGTTCAACAACATCACTAGAAATCAATTTATTTGTCGTGCCAGGACAACCAGACAAATTATATTACATTTCTAACAGAACAAAGCAAACAAACAGACAAAATACAAAATTTGTGAGTTTGGTAGTTGATTAAATGTCCTTTGACCAGTATCTGGCCACTTGGAGTGCTTCTGGTGTTGCTGCAAGAAGGTCCCCCATTGTGCATGTGGCGGGGCTCAGGTTGCATTGCAGCAGGTGGTCAGAGGTTTGCTCTTCCCCACACTCGCATGTCGAGGATTCCACTTTGTAGCCCCATTTCTAGAGATTGGCTCTGCATCTCGTGGTGCCAGAGCGCAGTCTGTTCAGCGCCTTCCAAGTCGCCCAGTAGTAGTCTTCTGTGTGCCCAGGGGGGAGTCTCTCATTTGGTAACAGCCAGTGGTTGAGGTTCTGGGTTTGAGCCTGCCACTTTTGGACTCTCACTTGCTGAGATGTTCCAGCGAGTGTCTCTGTAGATCTTAGAAAACTATTTCTAGATTTAAGTCGTTGACGTGCTGGCTGATACCCAAACAGGGGATGAATGAAATCAATGAAGAATGGTGATATTCTGGACCCTTGTTGTGACACTGCACCTGTTTCTTCACCTGCTGTATTCTTTCGAAAGCATACAGTTCAATCATCCACAGCCATCAAAATGCCATTAGTGCAAAGAGGAAGAAAAAAAGCAACCCCTTTGCAAACAATCGGAGATCATGCGGTGTGCCTGGAAATGGCTGGAGAGCAGCGGAGATGCTGTAAC